TCGGTATTTAAACACTCCGGGCTAATGTAGCCACACCTACTGTACAATAAACCAACCTATCAGGTTGTGTGCATGAACGACCAATCATAAGCGGTCCCGCTTACATACATTCAAATCTGATTGGCCACAATACTTTTCAGCGCGAATCCCTGCCGAAGCTTGAAGCTTTGCATGGCTTCTCTATGGGAGGATTCACATACCTCCTAATGCATTCAGGGCAGCATCTGAATACATTACAAATCCAATGAATGAATTTATTGTAACAGCGATTAGCCAGCAATATAAAACCAGAATAAATAAATTACAATGGCCAGATAGTAAAATTTCCGAAATTCAACAAGGTAAAAAGACCAAACTGTAAATACGCTGCCATAAAGCACAGTATAGTATAAAAGAATAAAATATAGTACCAAAAGGAACGGTACCAGTTAAAATCAAACAGTCCTGACCCTAGTGACAACCATCCTGCTGATGCACTTCTACCACCAAGGAACAAAATTTCGCGATCTGATGGAGGGCTGTATGTTCAAGATTAAGAAACAAGTTCTCCATCTTGTCCTGATCCGAAGTGCCTGCCAGAAGGGGATCAATAAGTTTAGCACGAGCCTCTTCAAATAACGGGCATCTCAGGAACACGTGTTCCTGGGATTCGATCTCCCCCAGTGCACATAAGCATAGCCTCTCCGATCGGGGATTTTTTTTAAAATTTACCCTCGAGAACTGCAGAGAGTAAGGCCGAGCATCTAGCCAGTGTATATGCCCTCCTGAGTTTACGGGACTCCAAAACTTTAAGATATGGGGCCTGCGCAACGATGTATTTGTTACTAATTGGCGCTATAAATTAGTTCACTCTGGAGCCGTCCTTCCTGAGCTAAGACAAAAATGTGTGAGCCAAAGGTGAAAAAAAAAAACTGTGAGCTATGTCACACTAACTCAGCTTAGAGGGAACACTACTTGCTGGGAAGAAATGTTATTAATCAATCAAAAGTACATTTTATTCCATGTAGCCAAATAGTGACATTATAAAGTGACATTTTGTTTCATGATTTACATGCTCACACATAAAAATGTAGGATTATAAATGTTAAGTATGAGACTCAACACAGCTTTGAATGAACAGTGATTCAGCTTTATTAGTGATGAAGAACAAAGATAAAAGATTGGAGCAACAGGCTCCTTTTTAAACTGTCTGGGGTTAGATAGCCACGCCCATATGTCAAACAGCAGCCAATAGTATTTACAGAATAAAGACCAATCATTAGGCTTCCCTCCATACTTTCCACTTCTCTGATTGGTGGACTTTGGATACCATTCCAAACTCAAGTTCACTATGAAAGTTAATACACAACAATAAAGCACATTTAAATTACATCTCATAACATCTAAACCCCCAATATATAATGGTAATGCTATTATTATATGTATATGGATTTGGGTAGAAGTATTGAAATGATCTTAGTGAAAATTATAATGAATAAATAAAATGTCTTCCCAACCAACATGGATGGCTAAGTTAGGTTGGTAAGACATTTTACTTATTCTTTATAACTTTTTTCATTAAGATCATTTTGATAGTACAATAGGGAGATTTGGGATTCAAACCTGGGACTTCCAGCTTCTAGTCTCTTTCAACCTCTATACCATGCTGACTCTCACAAGCTTCAAATATACAGAAGATTTTGAAAACTCCTGCTGACTGTACCCCTGCTGTGGCTGGTACAATGTTCAGAAATGGGGAAGGAGGAATAATAGATATTTCCCAATACATCAGTTCTAGTTTGGAAACAATATGTAATGAAGAAGAAATCTGGGTGAAGAGTTGGACAGATACTTATTTTTTGAAAGGTCCCAGAATGTCACCATTTTAATATCTTCTTAAATGATGCCTTCAACTCCTTGTTTGGTAAACTGTAGATGATGGGGTTTAGTAATGGCGTGAGGATGCTGTATTGTATGGAAAGAATTTCATCCCAAACCACTGATGATGCTGAGCTTGGTCTAAGATAGCGTAAATAACTTGTCCCAAAGAAAAGAGTCACTACACTGAGGTGGGAGCTGCAGGTAGAGAAAGCTTTCTGCTTTCCCTTCGTGGAGGTGATCCTCAGGATGGTAGAAATGATACGAATGTAGGAGACCACAGTGAGAAAAATGGAGACTCCACCAAGTATGTCTGCAGACACAACGAACAACATTTTATTCATGAATGTGTCAGAGCAGGACAAAGAAAGGATGGAAGGCAGCTCACAGCTGAAGTGCTTTATGATGTTTGACCCACAGAATTCTAACCTTAACAGTGGCAACGTGTTTACAATGGAATGCAAGAATCCAATTGTCCATGAAGTAGCCACTAGCTTACAACTGAATGCTATATTCATGATGTTCATGTAATGCAGTGGCTTGCATATGGCACAGTACCTATCATAAGCCATTGAGCAGAGCATGAAAACCTCTGTACTGGCTGTAAACAAAATAAAGAATGTCTGAGCAAAGCATCCCCTGACAGATATAGTCTTCTCTTTGGCAATGGTGTTCTCCAGCATCTTTGGGAGTGTGACAGATGAATAACAGACATCAATGAAAGACAGATGACTCAAGAAGAAGTACATGGGGTTCTGAAGATTAGGGTTGGATTTCACAGCCAGCATGATCATAACATTTGCCACGACAGTTAACAGGTAAATTAACAAGAAAAGGACAAAGAGGAGAATCTGGAGCTGAAGATCATTGGAAAGGCCCAGGAGCCAAAAGAAGCCTTCATCAGTTTGGTTTCCTACCATGACTGACAATCCATGTCACCTATGGAAAGAAAGAAATAGCATGCTGAAAATGCTGAAAAATAAGGAGGGTGCCTCTTCTGCTACATATTATACCTTCATCCTATGCTTTAGGCAAGAAGCTCAGGACAGTGTACAGTGTCCTTTTTCTCCAAAACAGTCCTAAGACGTAAGTTATGCAGAGAAGAAGTGAAAGGTCTAAGATCATCCAGTGATTTATATGGTAGAGTGGGGATTTCTACTGTGGTCTCCTCAATCCTACCTCAACAATGAAGTCACTGTGCTCACATTAACTCTCGTGTACCCTTTAGTTCATCTTCAGCCATTATAGTAAACATAATCAGACTTACTGGTTGTGCTCACTCCCTGAAGGATGGCAGTTTCTCTTGTATGATTCCAAATTTTGCAGCATAAACT